ATACACACAAACACACAAACATGCCCAAATTGGAGCAGTAGTAATCTGATTATGTAGCAGCTGTCACAGATGGCTTTCATTGCCGTGGTTTATGAGTCACTACACACATGCACACATGGTTACACTTACATACACACATACAGGCACACAAGCATATGTCCAAACATATACTGTACACTACTAACTACTAATACAACATCTTTTTTCATCAGCTACAGTAAGCAACCATTCTGCATTAGCAAAACAGACAGCATGTTTTGCAGATAGGTCACAACCGACCTACATAGCTGTAAATATTATATAATATTACTAACTTTTTTCATTTCCTAAAATATGCAAAAAATGTTCAGGCAACCAGTGAATAGTAAATGAAATATCTTACAAATATACAACAACATGTCTATATTGACTTCTCTGAGATGGTGTGTGTGTCAAAGGTGAATACTTTCACCTCATTGACCTCCACACCCTTACTATTCCATGTACTATATAAATGTCACACGTATTTCCTTTGCTGTATTTCCAGATAATGCAAATCACTGATGCAAAATAGTTGTGTCATGTGAATGTAAGTTTGTATATCCTCCACAATGGGTGCTGGGTTTTCTCCCACAGTCTCAAGACATGTAGGTCTGGCATAGGTTATCTAGGCTTCTATAACCATGAACAAGTGGTTTTGAAAAAGGACAAATATTAGATGGGAAGAAGGCACAAATAATGCTAAAATATTAGGCTATATTTTATAGAATAAAAAATTGTCTTGTCAATGACTTCAGGTGGAAACTCTGATCGTTTATCGATTTCACCCACGACTTCTATTTCAGTCATGAAGGACAGATGTAGATGAAGGAGAGACGAGTCTGAGGGGGAAAAAAAAAATCAGAGCCTGGATGTGAGTAAGAAATTGAATTTGCAAATCAGGCAGCAGCTCAATATCAGCAACTTGTTCCGAATCCTTTCTACACTGATTGCACATTATAGACAAATGCAACAAGATAGATAGAACTTAGTCAATAAGGGAACAGACTGGATGGTTGGTCTCTTCCATTTGAATAAACACACCACCACAACCACCAGTCTATTTCTTCCCGGACTCTTTTCATATCTCTTCATTTCTTTCCATTCCTTCCCATATCAGAGCTAATGGGAAAAAATGGAAATGTGCCTGTCACTCAGACGGTCGGCGTGCTGATATCAGGACTCCCTTTCCACAGTGATGAAACACATCCTGTGACAGATGAGTCAGGACGACCGTCAGTTGGTCAGTCTGCGGACAGCAAGTCAATCAGTCAGTCAGCAGAGAGTCACAATTTAGTGGGTCAGTCAGTTAATTAGTGAGTCAGTGAACTGGCCATGTGGCTGTGTTAGTTAGTAAGCCGGTCAGCCAGCCAGTTGGTAAGTCTCCACTTAAGTCAGTCATTTAGATGGCCAGCCAGACAGTCAATTAGAGTCAATATGTTAATCAGTGACTGCTGTCAGTCAGCCAGTCAACGTGATAATGATGAACCACCAGTTCATGAAGAATAATGTCTCTCACGCAGCCAGATGTTGTAGCTTATAGTCATAGCTTGTTTGAGAACAACAACATGTGAAAAGAGTCATCCTGCTGAAACTGTCAGCTGGGAATAAAGCTGGAAAGGCCAACAATTTTGGTTAAAAAAAACACAATTATCACCCATAAAATAAAAGATTGACAGTGAAAGGGGGGTGGGGGACCAGGGTTGACCCTCAATTGACTCTGGAGGTAAAAGTCACCATTTTCCTAGAAAACACCTGCTAGCCAGACTAACAGATCAAGAATTAGCAAGCAGCTGGAAACCGTTTGCTCTTGTCTAGTGTGAGTGTTTCCCATTACAGCAGGGGGGATAGAACAGACTGCATAATGCTGAGAAAGAGAAAAAAGGAGAGAGAGAAGAGAGAGTGGCGATGTGAGGCCTCTCTGATCACATCCACGCTGCACATCAAAAATCAGAGGCAGAAAACGTTTACTTTCATCATCTGAAAGGGGAATTGCACTTCGTCGTTGTCTTTGACTGCGACAGAAAAACTGTGTCTCTACTGTGTATGCGTGTGGGTGTGTGTGTGCATATGGGTGTTCATTAAATGTAGGTGTGTGAGTCAGTGTCTGAGAGTTCTTGTGCATATGTGGGGGTGTATTTAAGATGACACAAGGGGTGGTCGCTTACAAACAGAACGGCATATGGTGCCTTGCTTTTTGGCAATCACGAGTGACAAGTGAGCAGGGGAATCAACAGTGAGTGCAGGGTGTGTTGAGGGGTTGGGGGTAGCAATGGGAGGGCTTTGCTTAACGATCTCATCTGCGTGTGTGTATTTGTATGTGAGAGCTTGTGTGTGTGCGTGTCTATTTCCACCCTTAGGCAATACAGTACTGCTTTATGTAGATGAATGTGGAACAGGTCTCACCGTTTAGCAGCGTTATATAAATACATTATAACAATACGGAGCAGGAGCTCAGCACAGAGGGGCTCTGAACACAACGTCAACAGTTGCCTCAGGGCACGTTTTTCGTCCTTACTGCATTCAGATTGAAAGATGAAAATGTTTCACACAGTCCCACCACCCCTCACCCCCTCCACTGCCACCCTGACACACAAACAGCCTCCTTCCTACAGTGCTAATTGCAGGCCCCAAGAGTAAAGTCCAATTTGTTGGCTAGTGTCTTCTGGCTTGGAAATGGTTGATTAACAAGCACCCTGCTCTTCATCCAGCTAATTCACTGGTTTGTCTTAATTTTTTTCCCCGTTTAGTGGTCCAGAGTTCTGTTTTAATCTCTGTCCTCAGTGGAGGATGTCTTTGTGTAGTGCTGAGTGGTATAACAGATGAACCAGCATACCTGTTTTAATTTTCTATATGATATTCATTTTTCATATACAGCCATGCCGTTGCATAGCTGCAACAACTGCTGTAACTCTTCAACATTCAGAGTCTTAAAAAATGGTTAAAAGTCCTCTTTTGTGGAATACTTGCATATAAATGTGGGTTATTGATGTACCTACTAACCCTGAAAATACCTTTTTTTGTATCCTGATTATGTAACTGAGTTACAAGTAATCTGTGACTCCAGTGGTTCCCAACCTTTTTACTTAAGGGACGCCTTTTCTATCATTTAGTAAACTGATATTATATTCAAAACTGAGTGATTTGGATGAATTTTGAACAGATTATTTTATTTTTTATAAAACTTTTTATTCAATTCTCTCTCTGTATTATGTTTTTTTATTAATTCATTTTTAACAATCGTGCATACATATTAGGCTTCTTTTTTGACAAATTCAGTGTTTTGTCCCTTACACCTGGCCATTGTCCTATCAGACAATTTCTTTAACAATTTCCTTTACTTTCCATTTACTTTTCTTCACAGAAGTCAGCCAAATGCTGAGATATAGTACTACTGTGTATATCTTACTAGCACGCCTTAAAATGAAGAAGGCCTCACAACCCCCCATGAAGTTTTGGTGACCCCTAGTGGGGGTCCTGACCTCCAAATTGGGAACCACTGTCTGCCTAATTCAAATTTTAGGGCAGTGCTGTTTTCAGGCTGAACGCCCTACAGAAGATAGCAAAGTCTGGTTATTATTGGGTCATCACTTTGCTTTGACCCGGAGGAGGTGATGTTGCCTATAAACCCATGTATAACTTCCCAAGGAGGTCTGTAGGTCATAAGGATTAACAAGTGGTGTTAACTAGTTAATCCTTACCACGTACAAGTATCACAGTTACACCCTAAACATGTAGAGACTTACTGCAGAGTTCACTATAGCCAGGTAGAGTAGAACATCCCTTGCCTCTGCACACGCCTGTGGACAGGAGGCGTGTTGAGCAGCAGGACATCTGCATTTAAAGCAAGAGATGAAAAGACTAGACAGGCTGAGGGAGACAAAAGGACTAGACAGGCATCAAAAATGCTGGATTTGTGAGGGTATTTTCTCCGAAACACTTAAGAGACTTTTTTTAGACCTCAGGGAACTGCATTAACTTGTTGGAAAAAATAGGGGACCTTTAATTCAGATTAGCCTGGAATATAACCCTCCGCTCAGTCCAGCAGGGCTCTGAGTAATGTAGAGAGAATTATATTAGCTAGCGTTAGCGGAATGACAGCTATTGTGAATCTTGATGTGCATGGCCGCCATGCTGATTGCTGCCTCACTGTACATGGCCCCGGCCTCCTGGATAATAGGAGACTATTTTTAGAACAGCAGAGAGAGAGAGTGAGAGAGAGGGGGGAAAGGGGGAGAGAGATTGAGAGAAATGGCTGAGAAGAATAGGGATGAAGCAGAGAGGGAGAAAAGGAGGTGAGAGAGAAAGGGAGATTGCATTGACAATCGTGCAACACTGAAGTAGCAGAGGGAAGACAGGAAAATGTTATGGGCAACCAAGCAACTAATAAGCTTGAACCTCAGCACTCTGCATAATGCGACAGCTCATTACCGCCCAATTAGGCATTACAATGCCTTGCTTACTGAGGTTTATTGATGCAAATCAACCAGGAAAAGATACCCTGGTGCCAAAAAAACAGGAGGTGAAATTGGATGAGAATTTGTCGAAAGCACTGGCTCTGTGGCAGTTCAATCAATTTACAAAGTCTCTGTGGGGGAGGTTATCCAAATTAGTATGTGATTTTGACAATATGGAGCAGATTTTTTTCATCCTCTCGTTATCAACCGGCTGAGGTTTCTTGTGATGATATTATGATGACCCTTTTTACGGCATAAAGCCTCACGCTCTGTTTCCAGTGATGTCATTAATTACACCATATGTTTGATACTCATTAACTTGGCACGCAGCATCCTCCTTTACCTCTTCCTTCATCCCCACTGCTGATCACACACATAATCATTGCATGTTCACAGAAACTCTCCAATCACAGTTACAAATCATCTATCACACTCATAGACACACACACACACACACTCACACACGCACACATGCACAGATGCACATACACACACACACACACACACACATGCACACACACCATGCCAGCTTGCATTACACACAACCCATGGCCTAAAAAGCTCCTGCAATATTATTGTCACACTCATGCACACACACACACACATTTAAGACTCACGAGGACGCACAGCTGACTTGAATTTATACAACTGTCTTAAACCTGTAAAGGTCCACTTCTAAAATGTCCCTTTCTCCTTTTAACCTATCACACACACACGCACACACACACACACGCTCACTCTAAGTAATAATGACAGGTGAAGCTTCAGGCGTTACAGAACTATAGAAAACCTACTACGACTGTTGGCTGTCGATACAACTGAAACAGTCACACACATACACACACTCCTCCCTTGTTCTGGAGGTCAGTTGTCCTCCAGTGAGCTCCGTGGTGATGTCAGCAGCAGTTTGTGAAAACTAAACTTTATTGACAAGGTTGCTGACGATGGACAACAAAGAAGAACATGCCTAGTGGGCGCCAGTCACCAACACAATATCTGTCTGTCGTCTTTCTGTCTTTCTTTAGGTTGGTCTGTGTGTCTCTGTCTTCATGTTTGTTCACTACCTCATAAATCTTGAATCAGAATACCAAACCCTCTACCAATGCCTCAGGAGATGTTAATGCTAATATCAGAAAGTGGGTGACAGAGGAAACAAATTAATCACGCAGATGGGTTAGGTCGCAAACGACACACACATTTTGAAGTTTTTCCAATGTTGATTTGTTTTGTTATTATCATTTACATTTGACCCAAAAAAGGAGGAATGATGAGAGGGTTCACACATGTGATTAATAATAAAAAAGATGATGACAACAAAACCATCGCAAAACAACACCATTGATGATTTGTTATAGTTTTTTAGGTCAACTGTACAAATGACAAGTGATGGAACAAAAAGAAGAAAATCAAAAGCATGAACCCGTTCCAGCTCTTGTTTTCTCCGGAGTCACATAATGACCCACTTACATTCCTTACTGTTCCGTTCAGTGTCTTTTAGATATACAATGGGTTTTTAAGTAACACACAAACATACATTCAAGTTAACACACATGCTGCAAACAGACAAATCTACTGTAATAAATGTATCTTTTGGAGGTTTTTTATTTTGCTTCATTTGTTTGTTTGTTAATCATCAAGTTGTTTATTTTGTTTATTTTATGATGTTGTGAGCTGACATGTTGTTGACGTTGTTGGTTTTCTGAAGTCACTTCAACATTCATTATCTGGATTCAACTCTGTCTGCATGTGTTTGTTTGTGTGTCTGTGTCTGTGTGTGTGTCTGTGTTTGCGCACACATGCATGTGCTGTCAAACTACAGTGTTTCATCTGTTGCTAAAAAGACACTTCCTAGCCTGCACATCTCTGACAGCCATATTCAACACACACACACACACAAAAATGCTAACAGAAACACACACAAAGAAAAAAAGAGGTGACAGCAATGCAAAATATAACTATTAAAGGAAGTAACACACATGCACACACATACAGTATCATCTAGATAATACTTACTTTGATATGATAGAAGCTGGATTTAAAAGAAAATCAAATTTTTTTTCCTATTTTCATACTGATAACGCCTGGTGGTGTGTTTAAGAGCGATAAAATCTGTATGATTTACTGTATGTGACATAGACCACAGTGTGTGTGTGTGTGTGTTTGTGTGTATGGGGAGAGTGTGATTAATTCATGTGTTGATCTGTGTGTGTATATATATGTCAAACAGATAAATCTTTGATGCAGTGTGTCTTAAGGTTTTGTGTATAAGTGTGTGTGTGTGTTATGTTTTTGGCTTGTCAGTCACAGATGTGTGACAGCTCTGATCTGACTGACTGGCCCTGAACCATCACACATCCATCACATTTACATACAAGTACACGCACACAGTATTAATTCACTGTGAATCTTGGCACAATTTCAAGACATACAGTACAAGAAATCAATCAAATTATGTGTAAAATAAAAATGCATATAGTTTGGGTTACATAAACGATATTAAAATGGCACTTTTTATGAAATACACCCCTAACCAAGTACGTAAAGGTGCTTATCCATTACAGTTTCCCTTTTAAAATCTACCAATCAAAAATGATGAGACGTAGATAAAGAGAAAAAGACCAATTCGAGAAAATTTGATAAAGTTGTTGTAAACTTAACCTTGTATTGGGATATGTAATGGCACTGTGATCAGAACCCCTGATCCTGCCGTCCCACTGTGCATCCAAATCTCGATGTATGCCTATGCATGTTGCAGTCAGCAAGCAAATACTAACCGAAGCCCCTTTTAGACATGCGCCCCAAACATTAATCTGATGGCAATTTAACATTAAGGTCTCATGTCTGAATAAGTGCCTGAATCTTGTAGGTAAAGGTCACAACAGCAATCTGGCACAAGTCAGAATTGAATGCCGCTAGATTAACTTACTGTGAAGGCTGCAGCAGGTAAAGAAAGAAAATAAAATCATTTTAATAAACCACAAAACAATGTTAAGTTGTTGAGGAGATCCTTCTTATATCTGATTGTTGTAAAGAAAATTCTGAGCGGGCAAAAGGGGTATACTAGCTTCTGACTGACAGTATAAAATAGGCAGCAGAAATCACTGTTTAACAACATTAAATGGGGAAACTGATGGAAAAATGTATTAGAGGATTTACTTCAATAAGTTATAATATAAACATACGTTTTAAAATCTTTCTCTCATGCAGCCTGCAAGAGGAAAACAGTCTTTTTCTTTCATATAATTACTTTATAAACTTAGCACGCTTCTTCGGAGGTATAGCCTCTTGCACCAGATGCAAAATATCACACTTGCATTGCAGCCCTTTTGTTGTAAGGAACATTTACATAACAGACACCAATTCCATTACAGGAAGGCATTACTTTAACAGACGGATGAAGCTGGCAAATTAACATATTCCGTGTCTGAAAAAGGCTCAAACTGTGGGTCACTGTGGTAGACACTTTCCAAATAAAAGCCTTTCAGTTTCTTGTTTTGAAGGTGGAAGGCGTTTGATGTGAAGCAGCTGCAAAAGGCGTGTTTGCATTAATATTAAGTTCATTATATGTCGGTGCGTGAAACAACATTGGGTTCTAGCTGTTTGATGAAAGTAACTGTATATAAAGCTTGTTATGTGAAGTGTCTATGAGAATCTAGAAAAGCACTCAATTCATAAAATGTAGTTAAAAAAATTCATTCGGAAAGTAAGAATGGCAATACAGGACTGAAACAAAACTCCAAACAACACAGATACACTGAGAACTAGTGCTTCCTCTCTACTCCCCTGCATGACCACAGATGTTTAGCCAATTAGTTCCCCATGACATTCACGTAGCTTGGTTGTCACAATATTGCAGGTCAGTGCATTTTCTACTTGTTAGGATGTCGCTAATAATCTGTGCCATTAGTATATTGTCATTTTTTACTGGTAGTTTGTTTAAAATTTTAATTTGAGTTCACAAATATCACTTGTCAGACGTTACACTAACAAGGCTTTGTATCACAGTGACTGCAGTATGTTATCCCTTGTGCCGCTACTCTCTTCTGTTCTGCTGTGACCTTGTTTTAGTGTGTTTCTTTCTTCTTGTGAGGTCATTTGAAACCTTCTTTTATGATCTTGTTAATTGTTTTCTCTCCTCAGAGCCCCCGCACCCCATCGCCCCGCCCCAGCTGCTAGGCGTCGGCCCCACATATCTGCTGATTCAGCTGAATGCTAACTCCATATTTGGAGATGGGCCTATCATCCTGAAAGAGGTATGTTCAGGATGAGACATTGTATGGTTTTTAAACAAAACTTGTATTGAAGCCACTGTAAATCAGGACATCAAAGCTTTTCACTTAAAGTGGCAATAAATACTATATAAATACCATCTATCCTGAATTAAAAATTAATAGAATTACTTATTAATACACTTAATTGCTTTCTTGCTGAGCGTTAGAAGCTAAATATTAAGCCAATTCCAGCAGGCTGTTAGCATAGCATAAGTACTCTTAATAGGGGGACAGCTAGCTTGTCCAAAGGTAATGCAAACAAATCAGATGTAACACGTTAATTAGTAAAAGGTTAGTAAGAAGTAGACAACTGTGTAAATGTGACGTCGACTTTTTCTTGGTTGAGACCTTCCCGGAGTCTCCACTGGTTGCCAGGCAAAAAATAAAAAATAAAAAAATAAAAATTTATCCAAAATTCTGATTAAAATTGAATAAATAATTGTAATATGTCATATTTGATTTTTGTCCTTTAGGTTGAGTACCGTATGACATCAGGCAGCTGGACGGAAACTCACGCTGTCAACTCTCCCAACTATAAGTTATGGCATCTTGACCCAGACACAGAGTACGAGATCAGAGTGTTACTAACCAGACCAGGAGAGGGAGGGACAGGCAAACCGGGACCACCACTCATTACCCGGACCAAATGTGCAGGTAGGACATAACAAACAAATGTCATGGCAAAACTAATCAATTTTCTGATTACTTTAATGAAAACAACCATATGAACACTGTCCATATCTTTATATATACACTATATCCTCACACTTTTAACTATAATGAATTCTGTGATAGTGGATCATAAACATGTATGTCCAAATAAAGTATGATCAATTACATTCTGCAAGAAAAAGGTAGGTGGCAACTTTAGTTGAGTCTGCTTGTGCACACAGCTTTTTCTGCCTGTCTGATTGTCTATTGATCTGTCCATCCACTGTTGTTCTTTTTGTCTTGCTATCTATATTTTAGTTGGTGGAGTGATATTTGTACTATGAGGCAGGGAGAGGAGAGGTGTAGCGAGAGATAGAATTGGAGAAGAAAGGAGGGGAAAGCCTGAGTCAGTCTGTGGTTGCTCAGTGATCTGAGTGAAAGAGTGATTAAAATACTGGAGGTTCTCGCCACCTTTCTCACTTTTTATCATGCTTTTTCTTTCCTTCTCTCACCTCATTCCTGCTTTCTTGCTGCTGCTCCTCCTTTCTCGCATATCTCCCATTCCTCCCTCTATGTATCTCTCTTTCTACTTCATTCCTTGTCGCTGCCTTTCCCCCTTTCTCCCCGCACCTCTCTCTCTCTCTCTCTCTCTCTCTCTCTCTGTGGATCAATAGACGGAGGGCAGAAACACTGTCTGACATTTGTAGAAATAAACGACTGAAATATAAACACAGCTAGCCTGAGGGAGAGAGACGGAGCAAGCGAGAGAGGGTTGATATGAGAGAGAAAGAGACAGAGAGAAAAGCAGTGAGCTTGAATGAGAAACAGAATAAAGGAGCGATGGAGAGATGATGAAAAACAATAAGGCTGGAAAAGAAAGAGAGGAGAGAATAGAAGCGGGGAAGGGGGGGGCATGAGAGGCAAGAGAATGATGAAACTGGAGAATGAAAATGAAAGAGAGATGAAAACTCATAACCACAGGGCCTGACTGATGTCTTGCAACCTGTGTGTGTATGTGTGAATGAATCCGTGTGTGTGTGTGTGGGTGTATGTGTGCCTGTGTGTGTTTATTGACAGAGAGGAAGTCATAGACTTGTTCAGGCGACTCATGTATTGAACAGTTTCCTGTTTGACAGGAAGAGGAAATTAATCTTCTTTTCCTCGCTCACACAGGAACACGTTTGAGTTAATAACTCATTGTAATCCACACAATGTGTAGATATCAGACCAAGGCAGGGAAATATGCTTATGAATTTAGAGAATTACATTAAATCATTCTGTATATCTGAATATTTTTTGACCACTCACTGGGAAGTAGTCAGTGTATCAAGGGTCTTTAGAGGGGTTGCTACTCTAATGCACTTTAATTATTGACACTAGTTGTTAGTAGTTATCTTGTTTTATTTTCAGTTTGTTTGTTTGTTCAAATTCTTGAGACAATACAGATTTCTTTTCCTCTTTCTCTTTTCTTGTTTAACGTGCTTTAAAGGAATAGTTCAACATTGTGGGAAATGCACGCTTTTCAGCTGAGAGATCGATGCAAAGATCAATACCACTCTCGTGATTTATGGGTTATGACACTGACTATTCCTTGGCTGGGTCATGGATGTATTCCAGAAAAACTGGATGTTCCTATGAAAGTTGCTCACTGAGCGCATATGCCAAAAAAGGCTCCGCAAGCTTTTCATGCTTCTGCGTTTTTGCCTGTGGTGAATGCGCACTAGTCCTTCTCCTGCTGAGCTGGTTGGGAACATGCGTGTCCAGGACTTCCGCTGGACACACGAAGGGGATAAGAAATTAATTATACAGCTCTTCTAGCCTTTCCAAATGTTACTGGACTGAAATTGTAATAATAAAAAGAGTCATTTTTGGTGATTAGTGACACTTTATTGACATTTCCAAAACAAGATAAAACATGTTAAGAAGTGAGCTTTACCTTTGTACTACGAATGGGTGTGACACGTCAAGTATTCAATTTGGACATCAGTATATGTTCAATATACAGATGACTTGATTGAACAAAATGGTGCCCAGGCATAAGAGGAATGTTCTGTGAAGTATTTTGACCAAATAAATGAAATGAACCTGCAGTGCAAGCAACATTAAACTTATCATTTCATATCTTACATATCATAGAACCACTAGTTCGACGATTAACAATTTGCACATTAAGCACAAGGAGCTAGCTGTTTCCCACGGTTTCCGGTCTTTATGCTAAGCTAAGCTAACCAGCTGCTGCCTGTAGCTACATATCTCATATAACTTAATCGGTAATAAAGTGATTCCGGAAAAAATATTCCTTTAAAAACAAATGTTAACGTCATATTTGGTAAGGTAAATCATTTTCCTCTGTGTGTACAATTAAACACAGACTAAGTCCATACATTTTATATACTGAATAAAATTGAAAATACAATATACTGCACATAGTTATCTACTGAAAATAGTTATTACTGGGATGTATTTTGGACTTTATTATTATTGTAGTGATATCGTCCTACCTGTCTCTCTCTTTGTTTTCACTGTGACTAAGGTCATTCACACACACACACACACGCACAAGCACGGACACACACACTTGGAGCAGGACTTGTTTGTGTTTGTTGAGAGAGATCTAGAAGAGAAATGTTATTTAAATGGTAATGATTCCTTTGCTTTTCCTGTTTGGTTAGGTTTGTCTGATCCCACCACCTGTAGTTTACTGAATATTTAGTCCAATGCAAAATAATGAAAACATGCGCGCACACACTTTCACGGGAAAAAGTGTGCACAAACGCCAGGCATAAACCCAAGCATGTCACCACACAAAACACTGTTTAATTAAAAACCAATAAAGTTAATAAGATACAGAGCAGAAATCACACACACTGCAGAGCAATTGATATGATAACAGGAAGGATTTAATCTCTTCCTCTCCGCTCTTCTTTTCTCTTTTCATCTCTTCGTCTGTGTGTTTGTGTTAAGTTTCTATCTCTACTTCTTTCCCATGCTCCCTCTGTTTCTCCTTCTCTCTCCCACTCTTCTCGATTTTTCTTCTGTGGTGATTTATTGCTCTTGTCTGAAGAGTGAAAAATAATCAACTTGAAGTGAAGAGTTAGTGAGTGTGTGTGTGTGTTGTGTGCACGTTTGTGTGTGTGTGACAGAAGAAGGTGATGAAGTAGCTTTTAATCCAAATCCTGAATTTTCTGCCGAAAACCTCTTGGTCATGGCAGGTTAGACACACACACACACACATACTGACACACAATAACACACACTAGCAGGCATGAGCACACACAGAAAAGAGACACTAAGAGGTATAGAGATGGAGAGAAATCTACACACACACAGTTCAAAGAGTCACAGTATTTCTCGTTTGTTGCACAAACTCAGCATCACTTGGATTAATGGAAGAATGGAATCAAAAAACGCACATTTCCAGACACACAAGCACAGATGTCGTAGGAATCACACACAATATATCACATGTACTTCTTTATATATATGAAACACACACACAGTGTCAGCAGTACGATGATTTAAGGCCCTTAAAATAGTGGCCAAGAGATTAACAGACACAGTACTGACCGCGGTGTGTGTGTTTGAGTCAGTCAGCTTTACAGTTCTGTTTGTGTGTGTGCATGTGGTAGTTTATGGCAAACTCTGATGGTTTTATTAAGTTTCACTGATCTGGTTTAGGGAAGAAAAAACTTGAACCTCTAATATATATATCTTTCATCTTTATCATATATTTATTAGGGTTATGGTTACTCCCTTCCATGTCTAAACAGAGAGCGTCATCACAATCCTCACCAGATGCTCCTTTTAAATTCGTAGTTGCAGAAGACTCGACCCCCCGCTTATCCACAAACACATAATTCATGAGGTTATTAAAAAGACCGGCTGTATGTGTGATTAGAAAAGAGTAGAATTTACCTCTTTGCTTGTACCAACCCCCTTTTTCTGTGAAACGTTTTTTAATGCTGTTACTTCATTAATTTCTTTTTCTGAACTTGCCTGCTTCATAATTAGCCTCTGCACAGGCCAATCAGAGTCAAACTCCACGTAGCGCGCAAGTCGAATGAATTCAGCAACACAAACGTGCACCTTTCATGTGCTCAGATCTGGCTCATAAAGAGACAGAGACAGGCGGAGAGAAAGTGAGGGTTAAAGACAGAATGAATAACCAGAGTTTCATTTGTCTTCCTCATGACAGTGGAAGGATTACCAGGAACTAATTGGACAGATTAACTTGGATTTAGCTGCATCTCCTGTCAACCTTTTCTGCTCCTCCACCCCCATCCTACTCCTATCCTCTCCCCCTTTCCTTACCTCTTTTATGCTCTGCTTTTCTTTAAGCTTCTTTCTCCAGCTTTAAGGCCTTTTTAATGTATATTTCTTGGCTCTTCCTAATGCTTCATGTTGGGGAACAGGGTTATTTTCCCCCCGCCCTTTAGGGTAGTTCTATTTCATTTAGTTTCATTTCCTTTCCCTTTGTTTCCCGTTCTTTAATTCCAACCTCTGGATTCAGCTGATATGAAGCTCGCCGTCCTTGGTGTTATTGTTGGTGTTTATTGGTATTGTTGTTGTTTTCAAAGCTCCCTCTGTGGAGAACAAAGCCTTTTAGTTCCAACATGAATCCAGCCGTTTGTCTGTCTACCGGAGGAGGGGAAAGGGACAAGGCAGCCTCTGTGGTTTACCATTGGACCTGGTCCCGCTTGACTCTGGCCATGTTCCAAACTAGTTATCGTCTCTCCCCGTTCCTCCTCTCGGCCTCTCTCTTTCCCTCTCTCATCTTCCTCTCCCATTTCTCTCTCTGCTCCCTTTATCAGTCTCTCTCTCCCTCCAGCCCGTTTCATTTTTCCACGCATTGCTCTGGTTATACACTCTTCTTTACGCATTTTCTACGCTACTCTGTTTGCCCCGTCTTTCTGTTCCTTCTTCCTTCTGTCTGTCTGTCTTTTTTTTCTTTCTCTTTATTTGTCCATATTCTCTCATTGTCTCTCTTCTACCTTGCTCTCTAGCCTCTTTCGCTACCAACAGTAAATAGACGGAGATAAGCAGCAATGCATTATGGGTCAGGAGGGAAGTGGGGTTTTGGAATGCAGGTTAGAAGTGTGTGTGTGTGTGTGTTTGTGTGTCTACATCCACACCACGACATTGTGTGTGTGACAGGCAGCTAGTCGTATATATTTTGTTTTAATTCCATGTTGAAGACCGTCTCAGTGTTAGCATCAAGAGACCCTGAAATCAATACAATTTATTACACTGCACTAACTGTGTGTGTGTGTGTGTACGCGTGTGTGTCCTAATAGCCAGCTTTATGGTGAGGATCACAAGTATTGATTGAAACAGGGAGAGAGACAGAGAGGAAGAGACCAAGACAAGTGAGGAAGAGGCAGGGATAGAGGGAGAGACAGGCAGAGAAAGCAATAGGTCGCCATCTCGCTCTATTTAAATGTCAACCATCCAATAACAGGTTGAAGCAAAAATGAAATGCTCTGACCCCTCAGCTATTAACACACACACACACACACAGTTGAGCAATAATATTTGCTCAGCAGACAATTACCTGCCCGGGTATCTTTACAACCTTCCTTCCTTTCTGTCGTTTTTCTGCCTTTCTCATTTTCTCTCATATGTCTGTGTGTATCTTATTAGTTGGCTGTTTACATCTAAATGACTTAACAAACCATGTTTGTATTTCACTTACAGCTCTGGGTGTGTGTTGAGAGTTGTGTTTGCCCTTGACGAGGCGTTCTTATTATGAGAAGTTTTATTGAGACGAGTGCACACACATAAACACACACCTATACATGCTCTGCCCAGATTTAATCTTGATTCTGTCACAACCTGAAGCGCATGTGTGTGTTTGGGTAATAACAGAGTGTGAGAGTGTCCGTGCCTGTGAGTTTCTGTGCGTGTGTGTGAGTGACAGGCAGATAATGGGTTGTCAGAAGAAGCGACAAGTTTGTGTCCTTGTGTTGTCTCCTCTGAGAGAGGAAGACCCAGAGAAAAACAGAGAGCGAGACAAGGAGGGGTTGGGGAGAGACTTGAGTCTCTATTTAAGGTGAGCTGTTTTTATTAAAAAATCCTGGAAGGACATGAAGAAGCAGGTGGATCACAGCGAAAGATAAAAGAGGAAGGAACATCAGCAGGTGATAGAATGATTGTGAATGAAGACTTGTCAGTTTATGACAAGGACCAATAAACAAAATGTTTAATTAAATTTGCTCTGGTTGCCCCGGAATACCTTTCACTTTTAGTCTGGGGATGTCCAGAGCTAATATCCAAGATCAATATCAGAGTTAATAACGGTGTATTTGGTTTTGGCTGTATTGAGCTTGATCAAACAGATTTTTTTGTACCTTTGTTGATTGTGCTCTCAGCTGTCAAAAATATCAAATCATCTTCTATTAACTATTGATGGGAGTCAAGAACCAGCTTCATTAGAGAACCGGTTCCACCAAAACCATGTGCCATCGAGCTTATCAATTCCTTTTATCAAAGCTAGAGTGTTTTTCAGGCAATTAACAAGCAAAACAATGAGATCAAACTACATTGCTGGACTCAAAAGATAATAAAACACTTGTCCATTCAAAAAATGGATCAGGAATCAATTAGTAATAAGCAGAATTGATTGTGGTATTGCTATAAATAAAATCTTCACAATTTCCATTCCTACTTAATCTTCAAAATAGTTTATATTTATATGACCTTGTTTTCCAACTTATGCTTATGTTGTCACTACAGTGGTGGGATGTAACTAATTACATTCACTCAAGTACACTTCAAGATTTAACACTAAAAACTTACTATTATACTTACTTACTTACTTACTTATTATACTAACATATAATGTAATGGTACAGATCAGACTACCTAAAAGTATATTAAATAGATCAAATGAGCTCCATCTCCACCAACTACACCATCACTGGAAAATGTTACTTAAACACTAATCAATAATCTGGTAATGTGACATTTAATATTATAACACTCCCAGGGGCCATTTTACTTTTACTTTTTACACTTTAAGTACATTTTATTGATAATGCTTTGGTACTTTAATGTAAGTTTTGAATGTGATGGAGTATAAAAACAAAAATATATTCCGGTATCAGACACATGTAGGAGAAAACACAATCAGCTCTGACACCTTCATTCGGTCTTCATTCAGTATCTAAATTAGATAAATTACACTTATGTAGCCCCAGAATGTAGTCCCATTTTTGAATGAAAGATGCACATTAACATAGTTGTTGGACACCCTGACGCAGATGTATACATTGTGCTTTAACCCTTATAGACCGTGTGGTAACTACTGTGTGAGTGATAGAGTGATATATCTTCTGGAGTAATAACAGCCTTGTTGATTGAGTGTTATCTGTTCTAGTTAGAGAGGGAGTTTTCTTGTGTAGAGAAATAACTCTTCTACAACAATTTGTAGCTGCTTAAGATTATAGCTTTGCGACAGAAAACAGCAGCTCCTTCTGGTAGATGGGTAGCCACAGCAGCTTGAGGAGTGGCTCTTCTGTCTGAAGGGTTGTGGTACACCCTTAGTGTTGAATGGCTTGGGAAACACAAGTAGGTAAACAGTAATGAGAATGTAGTGCTTCAAATATAGTGGATTGATATGCAAGCGGAGAGATCGGATAAGGAAAGATTTGGTTTTGTGTTTGCCTGTGAATGTGTGTGTGTGTGTGTGTGTGTGTGTGCGTGTGTGTGCGTGGAGGTAGGTGGGGTCTTGGGGGTTATTGATCCAGTTAAATGAGCCAGTTAAGGTAATTAAAGCCCTGGGCCGGCAGGAGAGGAGGTAGATTATATTGACAATAACAGTTCTGAATACACATAAAAAGATAGAAACCAAAGACGTGCCTTGTTGAAGTTATTGCATTTGAGTAATGGTTGAATGGCAGTGAGCAGCCGAAATAGAAGTTCATAAAAACCCTCTTGTTTTATCCTCGGGGGAAAATGTTGACTCAGCATTCTTGGCAACACAAAGAACATTTGCCTCTTACTCACACAGTGCACCAGAAACCTCTTTCACTTAAGTTCACTTAATTACAATTCATTCATTACCACACCAGTCTTTGATGATGTTGATATTGGTGTGATGGAGGGGACAGAAATCTACTCCTCACCATTGTGCTTTACCTTCTTTCCATGTGTGCTCCTTTTCTCCAGAACCTATGCGGACTCCTAAGAGGCTAAAGATTGCTGAGACCAGATCTCGTCTGATAGCGGTGGACTGGGAATCGCTGGGTTACAACATCACGCGCTGTCACACCTTTAACGTCACCATCTGCTACCATTATATGACTGCCAACAACCGCAGCAAAGCCGATTGCTTGGACATGGACCCTAAAGGTAATACTCAGTTTAACCATTAATACAGATTTTGTTACCATTACTTATTCTGCTATTTTACTGTTACACATTCACACTATAAAAAAATACAAGATTTAGTTGCATTATGAGTATGATTTTTAATAAAATACTAATACAAATGAAGCAGACTGAGAACTGTCACCTTGTGTAAGTGCTGAAAAACTGTCAGTACAGAGGATACTTGTCATTATTGAGTATTCCAGTGGGAAACTACCTAATATCTGCAGTGTTAGCATGTGAACACATTTTTCTAGGGTGTTAGTTCTCAGTGGGATTAGCAGTTGTACCAGCAATTGTTTCATTTAACATTTGAATTAATATTAATATCAGAAAAATTAAAATAGCATCAGATAACATTTGAAAGTGCATGCAATATTCAAGCAGTCCTTGAAAACGTGTAACCAGATATTGGTGGAAATCTTGTGTACCTAAATGCATAAATAAATAAAATGCATTGAAAATTTAAAAAAATATCGTTTTACAATAGATTAAATGTTTGTTTTTTCTTCTCAGCACCACGCCACCTGGTGGGAAACCTGCCACCGTACACCAACGTCAGTCTGAAGATGATTTTGACCAATCCAGAGGGACGGAAAGAGAGTGACGAGACCATCATACAAACTGATGAAGATGGTACGATACACAAAACACACTCAATTATTATTTTTTTAACCTATTTATTTGTTTTCTCATTTAAAAAAAGATGTATTCATATATTTATTGTTTGTATGTTAGCTTTCAAAAAAGGGATTCAAGTAAAAAGTAAATGCTTCTAATGCTGTAATGCTTATGTACAGAGGGTTTTCTTTCTTTTCATGTACTTAGACAGTTAAAGTGACAAACAGCCACTGTTAAGACGTGGAACAAAGCACAAGATAAGAATCTTGACTAGTGCTACAGTATGATATATTTTTGGTAAAGCTGCATCAAATTGAGAAATTTTGAATCTGGGGTACACGTATCACTTCAACATGGATCAGGAAAGTCACTGCTGTGTGTATTTACTAGGAACTTCATCTGGAGCGAAGAATTTTACTGTTAGTTTTATTAGCATTGTATAATTTTGTCTGTGCGTGTGTTAACAGTTCCAGGCGCAGTTCCCAGTCAGTCACTAAGAGCCACTCCATTTGAAGACAGAATCCTTCTTTACTGGAAGGAACCGGCTGAACCCAACGGAGTCATCATACAATATGAGGTACTATTAGAAGAAGCAGTCGGGAAAGTAATTGTAGGAGGCAAGCTATCACTATGTTCAGTGTATAAACAAAAGTTCTGTCTCTTTGTCTCACCTCAGATTAGTTACAGCGGTTTGCGTTCATTTGACCCTTCGGTGCCTCTCCAGCGGCCGGGGCTCACAGTGTCTCTGCCCTCGAACGCCACCCATCACCTGTTTTCCCAGCTCCACCCAGGTGTCACGTACCAGCTCTCTATACGCGCATCCACCTCCAAAGGGTTTGGTCCTGCAACCACACTCAATGTGACCACTAATATTTCAGGTAGAAAATAAGATTTATGTTTTATTGTCACACTGTTTTTTGGTATCACATTTATATTAGTTAGTAAGATGATGCATGGACACTAATAGAGACTTGTGCTCTTTCTTCAGCCCCGACAATAGATGAGTACGATGGGTCAGAGGCCTTTCTGAATGAAACTGCAACAACCATCACTGTCCTGCTCAAACCTGCCCAGGCCAAGGGAGCACCTATAAGGTATACACATATACAGCATACAGTACATACCCCAAACCCAGGCTTTTGTCACACCTCACACATCCTGTATTTGGTTAGAGTCCATATTTCTTACTTTTAGTATGTAGTTTGTGTTCATATTGTATTCTCTCCTTAATGTAAAGCAGCCATTAAGCCCTAGAAATAATCAAAAAAACATTGAGTAGTCCTTTTTGCAAGTATATTTGTAACAGGGCCAAGCTTGAACATGTACTTTGCAGTACAATCAGTTATTATTATAATTATGCCAATCATGTTATTTTCTCAGAGTACCATGGAATCAAAGGTATTCCTTGACAAATGTCAAAGACAGTTTGATAAACAGTAATTAAATCAGCAAGGCCAAATAAATATGACACATAACTACACAACCTACTTTTAAAATCACACCTTAGAAATATTTTTCATTATGAGTTTATAAATAAAAAAACATAAAACTCAATTAAAATGGTATTTGAATTGTCTTCTTGTCAACAGCGCGTACCAGATCGTAGTTGAGGAAGTGAATCCTCAGCGGACACGTCGTCAGGCTTCCTCTGACTGTTACGAGGTATTTATTAATATGTTCTACAAATATTTAACAAGCCATGCCTTTACAACTTATAAAATATACACTTATTTTTTTGCTTGCATAAATTATAAATAATTTAATTCTAAAAAAGATACATTTTCCACCATTTGTCTCTATAGACCAATGGACCGTTGAATTTCAGCTCTTATAAAGCAGATGTTTTATTTACATTGTATTTGTGAGTCAGATTTATAGGCATATTTTTTTAAATGTAAATAAATCCTCTTTCCCAGGTCCCAGTTTCCTTCCACAGTGCGTCTAGCGGTGGATCTCCATATTATTATGCCGCCCAACTGTCCCCCAGCAACCTGCCTGAGCCGCTCCCCTTCACTGTGGGAGACAACAAGACATATCAGGCAAGCCCTTTTTATCTAAACAACGTATTCTGTACGTAGTGCAGCAAAATGTCAAGTAAAAAATAAATCAAATACAGTTGGTAATAAACTTTCAGTTTATAGAAGTTTAGGGATGGACACATGGAGAAAGGTAACAAGGTAACAAAGGGAAAATAAAGTTTAAATTGACTTGGGTTGTTATAATATCCTTTTATTTATATTATATTAAACGTATTTAAACTTACAATATTTAAACATACTCAAAAACACATGCAGTACGTCCACCAAGGCTGCAGAATACAAATGTTCAGAAATGTTCATTTTGAATCAGGATACTGGTCTACATTAAAATCTGGCACATTTATCATGAGCTATATGTATGTGCCAATTCCTTCATTTGCAGTAGTGGTGAAAATGTACATAAATGCCTCTGTTATGGTCCCATGTTTCCATGAGATTGAATGGTTGTACATATTAAACAAGCAATATATAATGTGTTACTTTGTGAGCTTTAGAAGTGCTGGTAAGCATATTTTGTTACCTTTGGTTCTGCTTATAGTCTGTTTTGTAAGTTCTGCAAGAAAGCAAATAAGTGTTTGTACTGAACTTCTCTTTTAACGAGATTTAAGATCCTGCTAACTAACAAGGAAAGAGATAGGATAGAAAACACATCCTCTTTAGGAGAGGTAATAAGTAAAATCAGAAGCTGACAAATCTGCGTATATTTAGCTTCACATAAAGTTGATGATCTCTTCCTTTTAATCCACAGGGTTTCTGGAATCCTCCACTGGCTCCAAGAAAGAACTACAACATCTACCTTCAAGCTGTTAGCAGCACAGAGAGGGTCAATAAATATTTATTCATATGAAGACACACTAAACACACAGTGAACTTACAGCTCGCACCTGCTAGCTGCAACGAGTAAATATGTACACATTCAAAGAGAGGCACTAATTACGTTTGAACTACATTACAGCTCCTACCTGCAAGCAGTTATGGCTTCTGAGAGTATGGGAGTCTAAACAGAACTTAAAGCACACCTATTACACAGAAAAAGCAACTGAATATGCACCACTTGTTTTTCCTTATACTGTAATACATGTGTACAATATTTAATATACAAAGTCACATTCTTTTGGTTAATTCTGTGGCGTTGAGGACCTAAATTTCACAGTCACTCTTATTGTGTCTTTTTTTCTTCAGGAAACTAAGACACAGTGTCTGAGGCTGGCTACTAAAGGTAAGAACACAGTCTCTGTTGATACCAATTTCTGTCAAAAAATACAAAAAGACCCTAGATTAGTATTAACTTGACAATCAGATGCCACTCAAGCGGTAAAAAAAAAAAAAAAAAACAGAATACATTTTTTTAATTTCTTTTAATGTATTTTGTGTCGATTTCAGTGATTAAGTTACTTACTGTCCTTTAAAGATTGATGTTAATCTGATGTTATTATGTGCTGATGATATTACAAATTGTTTTGATACAATAAAACGGTATTAATAATCAGATCAGTCGCTTTCCCCAGAGTTCAATAGAGAAGGGTATGCTTCTCTATTATGAGTATTAGTGGGGACAATAAACTGTTTTGCATTGAAGAGAGAGAAAACATATTCATGTGTTTATGTGCATATTCAGCCGCTGTATGCGAACACAGTCTAAATGTCATGTTTTTACTAGCAGCCATATGTTGATAGATTATCAGACTGGTTTTAAATGATGTGGAGTTAATCCCCGGGCAACCACATACACAAATGCACACACAGTGTTTTGAGGAAAGATTTTCAGACGCTGATGGATCAGAGTTTAGCTGTGTGGGGTAAGAACAAGGATAAACAGAAAAATACATTACCATGTTTTCAATGAAATTGACAATCCTGGTGGCTGGTAGCGTTGAGCTTCAAAAAACAGTTAAGTGTTTATTTGGCTAGTAATGCAAAACTAGAAGGCAAAGAGCTGAAATGATGAATGAAAATAGCATATTCTCATTTTTGTGACTGTTATATTCAGCCGGTGCCCTATTTTTCTTGTTCTAATAGTGTTAGAAATGGTAACGTTCACCTGACAAACAACAGTCAGTTAAGCAATTGATCATTTTGTCTGTTAAACGTGAGCAAATAGTATAGTACAATTTCTCACAGCTTGTGATGACATTGAAATTGCTTGTTTTCTCCAACCAACAGTCCAAAACCCAAACATATTCAATTTACAAAAATATGAAGCCTAGAAACATAGGAAATAATCACATTAGGGGAGCTGCAACTAGTTTCATCAGTTGTATTCATCTTAATGTAAGGATTTCATTTCAATATAAATACTTATGACATGCTCAATGTACTGTTTAGTTGACACATATCCACAATTTGAGACAATAGGTGTGAGATAAAAACCTATGAAAGAACTAATATAGAAGGTTGGAGTCATACAAAACATCCAACCAGATGTGGTGAGCACATCTAACACATTTAATATTGTACTTGTAAGCCAGCTTAGTCCTACCGCAGTACGGGTAAAAAAAAATCACTTTCTGCAGTCAACTGTTGGTCCTTGCCTTGACCTTCTAGTGTTGAAGGATCATAAAACTAGACAGTAAAAGTGACATAATTTTCAGCACAATCAGCCACAATGATTGTATAATTAATCACTATGGCTGATCGAGTTGTGTATTTTTATAACGACCTACGTAGGGACGGCAAAAAAAAAAATGCTTAGGTGATAAATTCTGTGACGTGTGGCATTGTTCCACGCTATGAACTTCTCCCTATAAAATCTAACAATAAATACATTTTAATAAAATAAGTTGAAAAGAGACAGAATTCCTGTATAAATATAAAATTGTGCATCCACATAAAATAAAATCCCTCCTGTTGTTAGGAGTTCACCTATTTTTCTTTGTAGGTCACAGAGTTCAGTGCCACCAAGACATGTAAGCCTCATAGGAAATCGATCCCATGGGATAGATCAAAGGTGGTTCAGTCCCTCCAGTGCCTGTAAGGTGTCATGTTTCTAAAATAAGAGAAAGTGGGGGGAAGTTGCTGTTTTTCCAGCGTCATCATATTTCAAGAACTGCTGGGGCTTGTAGTCACTAGAACAGGTGGTTACTTTGCCAAGGGCTGCTAGGAGGAGATCGTTCTCTGTCATATCTAGCCCGGGGACATCTGAGTGAAGCTAAAAGACTTATTTGAGTTTGTTTTTTTAATAAGGCTGAAAGACACATTAATGGACAGAGAGGTCAGATGGCCGTCCCCTCCTCTCTCTTTCCATCCCTCATCGTGTGTGTGTGTGTGT